TATATATATATATATATATATATATATTTGGGGTTGTAGGTGCCTTAGAAATATCTCATACATATTCTAAGCACTGAGAGAGTGGGATAGTTATTGCATTACCCATAGTAAATGTTGCATAGGAAAATGTAAAAAGATTGTACTTGATATTGAAAAGAAAACCTCTTTTTACATATTATACATACCATCAACTTGAAAATCAGTGGTGCTTGAAAATATTGTACATTGTGTGTTCAGTATTGTATCTCATCCAGTACACTTAATGGCCTGATAGCAATTATGTGAGTGAACCCAGAAAATCACTGTGCTCTAAAAATAAACTCTCACAAGAAAATGATAAAAGGCCATATCACTTGGAATGGAAACTTTTCATTGGATATATCCCATTGTTCGTTGGAGTAACTTCCTTAGTCCTCTCTGTGTTGACAGTCTGCAGTGCAAATCTATTGGAAATTGAAGTCACACTTCCCTTTGCAAAGAGCAGCAGCTCAGGTCAGTGTTAACACATTGTTTTCTGAACTCCAGTTTGCAAGCACAGTATCAGAGATCCTGAAGGGTTTTCAATGGAGAGTGATCCAGTGAAGCTTTTTGCTAAGTGAGCGGCTTCCTGGTCATGTGAACATAGCCAGATTTTCGTGAATCTGTGGTACAAAGCCAGTAAAACTGTGGACTTGAGCAAAAGCAAAAAGATAGCTAAGAAGCTGGTGTCTCTGCAGATTTTCCAAATTGGTAGTCAGTGCGGGGAGTGAATTAAGAGACTAAAGATTGAATCAGGAAGACCTGGGATAAAAGTCACACCTCAGGCAACTTACAAACAACATGCCCATTTTTATGATGACTTTGACTAGGTCCTGAGTACTGCACCCAGCACAGAACCACTTGTGCTTCATGATGACCTGGTGAGCTGTGATGGAGCACTTCTGGCCCCTGAATCCGACATGGGGACTGATTGCAGCCTCCCAGACAGAATCATAACAGGATTATGACAGCCTCCCAGACAGGCTCCCAGACATGATCAGAAGTGACTTTTAATGAAACAAGTTCCAGAGCAGGCTCTGGAACAAGATCAACAGCAAAATCTCACTCATGAAGGAGCTCGTTTGGACCTCTTACACCGAGGAAGCGCACAGTTGCACCTGCTGAAAACATGGTGGAGATACAAGCCACTCCAGAGCCCTGGTAAGTGTATGATTCAAATTAAAAGTTTATATAAGGGATGATCTAGACAGTGCTTGGTCCTGCCATGAGGGCAGGGGACTGGACTCTCAAGGTCCCTTCCAGTACTAGGATTCTGTGATCACTGTAATGAGATCAATTTCTGATTAAAGAGCAATGCAAAAACACTAAGCCCGGGCTAGCACCATTTGAACACTAATGATGGATTACAGGGGTGGAAGTAGACTCCAGGACTTACCAGTGTACCCTGCAGCATGCTAGCATCTTTGGTAAAGGCCTGGCTCTGGGCCCCCAGAGCCGGCAGGGTTTGGGGCAGAAAGTGTGGGGCTGGAAGTGGACCTTTCCTCCAGCTAATCCAGTAGTAGCAACAACAAGGAGTCCCAGGGCTCCTGCAGTGATTTGAAGGACCCAGACTCCTGTCTTGTGGTGACTGGGAGCCCCAACCCTTTGAAATCAGCAGGCCTTGGGACAGCTGCCCCTTTTGCTCCCCTCCCCATTGGAGGCCCTGCCAGACCCTACAGCAGGGCTTCTGCAGGGAGTGAGGGAGAGGGGAGAAGCGGCAGTGACATTTAATGTTGACTGTATGTGGGCTGGTAACGGTGGTCAGTTCTTACTAACCTGCTTGCTGCACCACTCTGCACCAGCAACTGTCATCTCTGTTGGATTGTATCAGGGTCTAGGCAACCCCAACTTCTCTTTCTCCATCCTTCCCACCCTGTGGTGTTCAAAATAGTAAATTGGAATTTCAGACTTTTACCTATCTGTAATGTAAATGTTAAGTCAAACAGATTTGTTAGTCATTCTTACTTTACTTCAGTGCTTTTTTTTGTTAAAAAAAAAAGTTGCTGGTAGTAGGGTTGCCAGATGGTTTGAAAATTTGTTGAGCAAAACAAACAAACAAACAAAAAAGCCTGGGAGGTCTGGGCCGAAATCCAGTCATGGCCCCTTTAATTGCCGTCTGTCCCGAGTAGGCTTCCGTGCGGCGTGAGTGCTCCCATGGCTGGCTGGGGGCTGTGTCAGGGGAAAGCGGTGAGTGCTCCCCCAAAAAGGAAATGGTAAACTCTACCGGTGTGTACCGGTTTCAAAAAAAGCACGGCTTTTAGAAGTAGGAATAAGATCCTCCGGAAAAGGGCTTTTTTTCCGGAGGATCGGGGCCAGTGTAGACGCTCTTTTCCGGCTTTTTTAAAAGCCGGAAAAAAGCGGCGGACATCTTTATTTAAATGCCGCGGGGGATATTTAAATCCCCCGCGGATTTCCCTATTACGACCTGTGAAATTAACATGCCCCTTTTGGAAAAGGGGCCAGTGTAGACGTAGCCAGTGTGTATGTTAGGGAAGCAGTATACTGTTTCCAAATCTATCTAGTTTCAATTAGCAATAATCCATGCCTGGATTCAAACTGCACGTTTCAGAGATTTTTATGTTCAGCAAGAATAGGATAAGGCCTGTGTCCATCATGTTTATTCCATCATGGATTAGGATCCAATCTGGCTGCTGATTGCTGCAAACTTTTCCTGAAGCTACAACTCAGATAGTTTGTCACGTAGTGGAGAAGAGCATAGTTCCAGCCCTTCCTGTATAGATGTGCTGTTGGTCCCTGCTTGAATATTTCTGTTGCATATGCTGCAGGATTCCCTGAAGCAGTCTGGAATACCATCTCCTTCTGTCAAATAGGGCACCAAGTGAGCTGTTATGTCTTCCAAAATATGAAAGGCTAAAATAAGAGAAAAAGCATTTTCCTGCGAGGATACTATCTATACTCCTCTTCCCCACCTCTCCTATGGCAATTACTTAGGAAATGTTAACAAAGCAGTTTTAATTTTAAAATTATCATTGCTTATGCACTTCTGCAACTGTAACAAAGCTATGTTGAGAGGCAGTGTGAGGACTGAAGCATCCCTTTCACAATATGTGTAGGTTCACTTTAGAATTGTTAATATTTTATGGCCTCGGTGTCCCACACTTATTAAGTCTGTTGCCCTCCATAGAACGTCTTTAAAAATATCCCTCTGTTGTTATATTTTAGGACCCTCAACTTATACTGCCTGCTGTTCTTCACAAACTCCATATCTGAGTCAGCATACCCTCAGGACCATTCCAGAAGAAAGTGTTTCTGTGAAGAACTCATGTTCAACATTCTTTAGAGAGAAGTTCCGGTACCAGAAGAAGAGGAATGAAAGATTGGAAAAACACCATGCTGAGAGGCAGGAAGAAAGTTTGAAGTTTGCCACCGAGCTGAAGGCAGGTATTTCAGCGAAGGTGGAGGCACTCACACTGCAGTTCCTGGGACAGTAACAACCAGCTAAGGGAGGAGGATAGAGCCCAACAGAACTTTTCCAGCAATTCCTGTCTTACTGGCTGAAAGAACATTGGCTTCTTGCTCCCTCTCCCACATCACAGCGTGATGCACCAGCAACACACTCTAAGCTCAGAAGTAGTTTGCACAACTCCATGTCAGAGAAGGCAACGCATTTAGGACTGGTGAGCAGCTGGGCTGGACAACTAAATCCCTGCAGCCTTCTTTTTTTCACCCGTTTGGTGGAAACCCTCACCTCATATGCCCACCACAGAGTGAGAGCTAAACATGTAAAGAAGGGAAATGAGAACTTGGGGGC